CCCACGTGTGACCTTGTAAATTTAATTTCAGTCTTCCCCTGCTCTTGGGTACCGCGTACAACCTCATGAAAGTTTTGGCGAGGAAATTATTATCTCGTGAATCACAAAAGCTAGAAAATTTAAATTTTATGGTAATGCCCCCTGCCCAAGTACAATTCTGCAACTTTGGGTAGGGGACATTACCATAGAATTGAAGTTTCCTACCTTTTTTAATTTCCTTAATTCCGGGTACCACGTACGACCCTGTAAAAGTTTTGGCGAGGAAAATTATCTTGGGAAACAGGAGAGTTGGGGAGTTGAAATTTTAGGGTACTGTTCCTCGCCCACATGCGAACCAGCAAATTCAGATTCGGCTTTTGCGCCTGGGTCTCAATGTCCTATTGAAAGTTTGGCAGGAGAATAATTACCCCGAAGCCAGAAGAAGTAGAATGTTTTTCTGCCTATGCAGGGGCCACACAAGCTCGAATCTAATTCCCAAGTGTGCCGAGGTCTCACGCACGACCACATGGAAGTTTTGGCGCAAAAACCACTCAGAAGCCAGAAAAGTAGGAGGTTGATTTTGGAAGGATGTTCACCGTTTTAGTGGGAAATCTCGCAACTTAGGAATCAGACAACATTTCAACTATTTTTGCACAAACCAAAATGCAAAACAGTGGAAATTCTTAGCGGACAAACGTTCGCTGGACGGAACTGCGCAAAACGCATGATCGCACCGACTACCCCGGTGCGTGTTGCTATTTATTCTGTTTGTCGCACAAATGCATTTTTTGGAACGGTACGTGGTCGCAACAGTTGCCAGCATGATGTTTGTTCAGGCGCGTTCGTCTTCGAGGATTCCGCACCCTGACAGTTTGCGACAAAAACAAACCTTTGGGTGTGCTGGGACAGCTCCCATTCTTTGTCAACCCTTGCGATCTCTCTCTCTCTCTCTCCCTTTCTCGCATCCCCAACAAATAACACAAAGCAACTTCCCCCACTCTGAGAGCTGGCTTTGGCACACATTTCGATTTTTATGTTGCTCGTCGAGTGTTGCTGTGCCAGCCCACCCTTCGTCTGATGTGATTTTCAGCCCGGCACTCCCCCTGCTCCTCCCTTGCCACCCTTTTGCGTTGTTTTGAATCGCAGTTGAAAGAATCGAGGACTACCAGGAAGCCTTGTTGTGCTGCTGCGCCGTGGCTTAGCATGGGCCTCTGTGAGGGCACGAGCGTTTGTTCGGTCCCTATTTCCCGCATCTTTTTTTGTGTCCGGGATGTGTCCCAGTGTGCTTGAGAACTTCTCGCCCCTTGTGGTATTTTGCCAGTGCGTTCTGTGTGTATACGGCCACTAGGACAAGTACAGTTCATTGTGCGCGTAGGGAACTCAGTGCAATTTGCCGAAGAATGACTGGATCTTTCTCGTTACCTGTTCTACAGAAGGGCGATGATTGCCCCTCGCTGCTTTCTGAGTCAATGCGCATAACTCTCACTATTGAATTTTGCTGCGTCTCTTTGCACTCCTGCGAACCGAGGATTTCTACGAGCTGCGAACACATACGAGGCGATCTGATTCAGCACTGTCAAGCATTTGTTTCAGAAGCGGGCGCTGACGAGATGGGCTCATGGCGACGAAGTGCCAGGCTGTTCTACATCGCGCATCGCGTCCAGCTGCGGCGCCTGCTCCTCGCCGGTGGCGGCGCCGCGGCTACCGCCTTCACGTTTTGGCGTATGGATCCAAGCGGCGAGACACACTTCCGCAACGTTTTGGTAAATATTGTACTCTTTTAATCCTAA